AAACCCACATGCAGCTCAGCCACCCAAAATAATGCTTCCAAATAGTATCTACTACGTAAAAACGCCCACTAAGAAACCTACTATAAAGGCTACCAATCCATAGGTCTTTTTGACCCTGAGGAACATTTGGCGTTGTTCCCACCATGAACAATACAGTGTTGAACTTGCCATCCGACCCTTTTGTCCCGCTGCCATTCGGATGTTGCCATTCACTTAATTGGAGGGCGCACATTGTACGAACGTTACAGTTAAACAAAGGCCGAACAAAGTGACACAGGTGCAGCGGACATGTCTTGGGGGTAATTCTGATACGGGCATGAACCCAAGGAATGCCACTTACCCTATACCTTGGACGTACCCAGAACTTAGCTCATGAGAAATACTGATGAACAAACCCAAACGAACACAGGGAAGTTATGTTATTTGTTTATTAGTATAACTAACAGTTAAGCAAACATATACCAACATAGGGTTGTAAGACATGGATCCATATTATGTATTATCTAATTAGAGACTGTTACAAGTTACAACTTAGTCACCATGTGAACATAATAACGTGATATATTTCCCTAAAAACACAATGTACTCAGAATTAAACATACCACCTACCAAGCGAGCTTGATAAAACACACGTATGAATTAACATGTTATGTTAGGAAGGGATGGATCGAAAAAAAATATTTGTGCATTCTCTCTGAATTATGTTTTTGATATTCTTAAAATCTTATAAGGTCCCTTCAAACTCTTGTACTTGTAGCAATATCCTTCTTTCAGAGACGTCTACATCCGGGACATCTTTGGCCACCACGTGATGTGCACCGAAGAGAGTTTTCACTGCAAGAAGAGAAACAGGTCAGATGTTTAAATTTAAACATTAGAAATACACTTTCCTCCACGTTTGGTCTGAATATATAGATTCACTACATGGGTATGACGCAAGAAATTAAGTCACCAAGGCGGCTTCAATGCTTGATAGTAACATACTAAACATTTCAATATGCAATATTTCTTTCTTAATTTTCCCCTTAAACTTCGCCCCTCCGATAGTACGGACCCGAAAAGAATGACTACAGGAAGGCTTCCGTTTATTTACCATGATACCCTGAGATAATATATAAAACTGTTTTCTTTGCTTGATAATCCAGCCATTAGGAGCCAAAGTTTCACTCCTAGACGCTGTGAAAACTCCGTCTTTACTGACAATACAAGAACAACAACGACAGAAGCCGCAAGTTTATACGACTAGTAAAAACACGTGGAAATGGCTGTTGTCTTTGGGTGTCCCGTTACGATCTGGCTAATGCTCGTGTTGTTGTTGTAAGCGAGGGATAGCCATAACAAAACGTGTAATAATTATACATTACTAGATGCCGTCCTTTTACTTGCAGTGCATCGGGTTAAGAACGTGTTGTTGTAGGGACAGCGTTGACTCCAAAACGGAAGAACGAGGGGGCCTCACAAACAAAATTGAGAGAATAGACAGATAAAAGAGTCTAACAGTGGCAACGGATGTGAAAACCAAGGCTTTAAGTTCGCACGTTTTGGACTAAACAATAAAAATACGTGTGGACAAAGTGATTGGCGTATCTAATTCTATGCACACATAGTAAGGATGGGCTTCTCACAAAATTAACATAGTGGTGAATTGTATTCAAATGACCAATGACAGTCGTCAAGAAACAAAAAACTGACGACATCACCAACTTTTAACATAGACTAGATGGTGCAGAAACAATTCTTTCTATTTGATTTGTGTATATGTAATTGTCCTTTAATAGCTTTATTGAATATTCCCATCGAGCCCTGTTGCATTCTTGACAGTCGTTCTCATAGATTTTTCGTCACGAAAAAAAGAGAGACGTTTGTGCTTTTCCCAAATGTTTTGCAACGTTCCCCGAGCTGGGGTTGGATTCTGTCCTTAATCCCGAACATAAACCCGGGTGCGCGGAACACAGTAGCGAGGTTTTTGATCCGGGGTTACCCTCCCCGCTGGAGCATGCCGGGCGGGCTCCGCGGCTCAGCCGCCCATACCTCTCCTAAACACCCCGCAAATCAATTTTCCGTCTGAGTGCACAGGGCGCTCGCGTGTAATAGTTATCGCCGGCCTACAAATTGGGGATGAAAAGGGTGAATTAATCGGTGATAATGACCCCAGTGATGAGTTTATTGAGCGAGGCGGCGGGGCTATTGAGAGAGGTGTCGGTGACGAGGTTAATTGAGCGTGTGATTTGGGTAATTTGCCGCGAGCCCTCCCCCTGATCCCCACCGGGTCTGTCTTGTTAGCAGTCGTGCCACGAGGAACTGCCAGCCACAAGTTTCTTACGCTCCACGACTCTACAACTGCTCACAAAACACCCTGTGATACCGCATTTCAGCGTCGGTTTCTCTTCAATACGTTCTTTGCTAAAATCTGTCGGGTTTTGGACGGTTTAAAAAGCAGTGTTGTGCCAGTTATGTTGGCTATGTCCACCATGTGAAGCGTCTGTCACGGCTGCTGAACTGATACCACAGGATGCCTGGGTACTGTGGCCGTGTTGTTGCTCCCGTCTACTGTTTCCTCTAATTTGCTTTTCTATTTGTTTTCCATCCGCCCTCCCACACCACAACGATGTTGGCGGTGTCGCCTTACCCGGCTGTGCCCCCCTCCCCACCCAACTCCAACCTGTATACTACTGTGTTCACTTGATATGCAACATGGCCTACAACGCCATTCTACGCGTAGTGGAGGAAAAAAACACAATTTCTTCAGTGACACGTTGTTGGAGGCTGAACCAAGGCTTTAAAACACATCATCGTAAGTTTTAATTCCCGATCTATCATTTCTGACGATCCCAGCTATTTTACACCGTAGGCGTCTGTGTATATGAAAACATTCGGGTTATTCCGAAACCTTCCTATAATTATTTATTGCATGTACTAAATCGAAGCGTCCCAGAGGAAATCATTTGTCAGAATCCGTCTACGACTCAGGCGAAAATTCCCAAGTCGTCGACTTGTTTTCCTTTTTCCACGACAAAAACAACACGGTGTGCAGGTCTGAATAGCCCGTGCCATCGCCTGTTGGGTAGTGAGCCATGTTGTGCACTGTGGCACACCACGCATGGACGGCGGGCATGAATGTCGCCCACAGAAAAACAGCCCGTTATTTGTACTTGTCCTGATGAATGTGCTCCCAACGGCCTCCTTCAGCTACTAGTAGCCCTCCCACTGAAGCAAAAGAACACTCGCTGTTCAACCGGACTTACCATATCATCCGAAACTCAAATCGCCGGCGATTCTGATTCAAATGTACAAATTCAATTTCTTTGGCGTCATGCGGCTGGATTTGTACAGAAAGTCCTTAGCTATTACTTCACAATGCAGAATGAAGTACCTGATTAATTTCTGTTATACAAGTCAATGGGGAATATTCCACTTAAGTGACTTCGCATGATGACCATATCCATAGCTACAGTCCAATAAATAATGACGAATTTTAAATCTGCCAGTGCGTATAAAACCCATAATGTGAGGATAAAATTAGAACTGTTAGAAATAAAGAAAATAAATGTAGCTTGTCATTGTCTGTTGTTTGATTGGGGTTTTCTTCAATTGAATTGGTATCGTTATTGACCTTTTGAACAAAATATCAGCATGCAAAATATGCTGGTAAGATATTCGCTGTGATACGGACCTCTCGTATCTCATATATAAAGAGCACAATAACGTGTTCCCGATATACGTGTACCCGGAAAGATAATAAATCATCCTTGCATAATATTGCATTGTGTTTGCGTCATAACACACGTGTTGTCAGTTTCATTGTCTGCCATCGCGACCTTTAGAATTAATTTCCGCATATGATAACCGGGTTTCCCCCGTGAGGATTGTGTGACTACAGAGGCATATCGTTACCCGGTGCTTTGTGTAATTTGGCTGGATGGAATATCATATCTGTATCGCAGGGGGAATAATATTGTGACCGCAAAAACCGCAGCAAATACACCGAGATCTCAACCAGAATCGCTCCAGGATTGCTACTGCTTGTACCCTCACAGTGGGATAGCGGTCAGATCTCTCAGCAGACCAGGGATATGTTCTGCTAGGAAGGATCACGACGTTTGGGTGATATCATTATCAAGGCTACGGGTGCAGAAGCGGCGGGTGTGATATCGTACCCCTGCCCCCCTCCGTGCGGCTGATTGTCCCGTTCCGCCTCGTTATCTGCCCTCGGTGTCGCTAATTGGCAGTACAAATCGCCACCGGCATTGTCTTTAAGGCTAGGAAAACTCTTGTTACAACAAGCGACAGTGTTATGACTTCACGTTTGTTCTGTGTTCACCCCTCCAATAATCTCAACCCAGAAGATACACATCGACCGATAGGTGGAACCATGGCGCTTGTCGGACAAGATCGTTCACGGTTTTTGTAGATAAGGAAATAGGCCGGGCGAGTTTAACGCTAACGCCTCATGATTTATGCAAGGACCACCAGGCCAGACGAAAAGGGATCGAAGCGATGTGAAATTTAGCATCAGGGATATGCAGTAGCAGGGCTGGCACACCTGCGGTCCCGGCCGCTCACGGACCGTGCTGGGCTGGGAGAATACGGGAATAAAGAAGGAGGGAGACTTGTAAGAGGGACATTCTTGCCTCCCAGCGAACCAGAGAACCGCTACAATGGCGGCTTGTATCGAGTGCGCGTTTCGTGGCCCCAGAACCAGCGGTACCTGTGTCCGGCTATTGGTATGCACGTGCCGGAGATGTGGCCAGCGTGCGCCGGGGCAAGAAAGGATACAAAAGGTGGGAAAATACCTGCAGTAGAGGAGAAGAGATACCTTGTACCAGCGGCGGCTCGCATTTCAACCTCCCAACTCACTGCCGCCGCGATAAATCAAAAAAAAACTTTTATACCTCCGACCCCCGTCACTGGGGACACGTGGGTCCGAGCGCACGACAAATCGTCTGCGCGCTCGTGATTGGTCGGCCCAGCCACATTTCAAACACAGCAAAGGAGTGTGAGGAGTCCCATCCCCAGTCCAATAGAGGAGGCAATCGCGGACGGAGCTACCCTAGGATCTCCCCTGAGGAAAAAAAGGGCGTCGGACTTGCAATCGTCGATGCTGTATTGAATTTTCCTATCTGCGACGAGAGAGTGACCCCATTGCGAAGGACAACCGATTTGTGGTGTGACGACAGAGAGGCTTCCCCGCGACTTTTGGACGATGGCCGTGTTCCGGGGTGTCGGGCCTTGCGGCTAGAAGGAGGTGCCGCTTTCTGCCTTGCTTCATCGAAGCACAAAAGCTGACCAATCGCGAGACGACCCTTCTTTCTAGAAAACCTCAAGCCGCGGATGTGTCATGACTTCCTCACGTCGCCAGGGTGGTTAGAAGCCTTGACGGGCACAAAACGACATAAAAGCTGGTCGCATGGAATTTAGCCGTTAATAGGGAGGTGTGAGGAGAAGGGAATACATACCGCCGTGAGCTGAAGCGGCCAAGTGCGACACACCTCACACAACCTTGCGCACAGACAGACGGCTCGGCGCGTTATATTTACCTACATCACACTACAGCGAGGCCGTCAAACGGGCCTGAGACGAGGAGCCAGTACGGTTCGACATAAAGACAGAGGAGCACTGCTCGGAGAGTTATGGCGGGGGTACTAGCGCGGTGGATGGTCACACTGGTCGCGATATCGGCGTTGGGAACACACTGGGGGCCGAGCGAGGCCTGCGGGCCGGGGACAAGGTACGGCCGCCGACGGCACCCTCGCAAGCTCACCCCCTTCGTGTACAAGCAACAGATGCCGGCGGTCTCCGAGAACACCTTCGGGGCCTCCGGCCTCTTCAACGGACGGATTACTCGCGACTCCGAGCGTTTTCATACACTGAAACAAAATTTCAACACAGACATAATCTTCAAGGATGAGGAAAAAACTGGGGCTGACCGATTCATGACACAGGTGAGTTATAATTACTTCCATTTCAGTGGTCCTGTTCTCTCGCAAACCCCCTTGTTTATATATCGTGTATTGGAAGCTTTTGTCCTTTTGTGGAGCCATTTTAAAAGTTGAAAGGTGCGGGTTTAGCAGCGCTTTGCCCGCTCGACCCTAACACGGGGACTGAGCTAGCAGGACGTGAAAGAATAACGGAATGTGCGTGTGTCGATTAGAGTCCCATAGGAAACCCTGTCAGCCGCCGTACCCTCACGTTGGGGGAAATGACAAGCAAAATGTCGGCAATATGGAGGTTCCCCCCTCGGCAAACAGTCAAAGCCTTGTTTACAGCGTTGGAGAAAGGCCGAGCAAACTGGGCAAACACACTACCAAATCGTTCCCCAATTTAGATCACGGGCTTCCCGCACGACGCCAGCGACGCAGGAGCGTCGGGCCTCCAGGCGGGGGAGATCGGGCTTAGTACCCGGGCACTTAGCCGGGCTGTTAGGCCCTCGCCTGCGGCCACGGGGAATCTGAGGAAATGTGGGGAGATTTACTGTCGCCGAGACACTTATCCCCCATGTTTGAACAGGCTTTACCCCGTGTAAAACATTAAAAGGTTTTGGGGGACAGCACGGCTGCGAACGCGAAACCAGGTTGCTACCCTCCCCCCACGTCGCGAGTTTTCCCACAGAAGAAAAAAATCCTTCCCGGTTTGTATGCTTAGCCACAGAAGTGTATTGAGCGAAAAACCAACAGGACTATGACCAAAGGAAATGACTATTTGCCCTCACTGTGTCAGGGGTGACGATATTTGAACGTTTTTTATCGTACCTTGATACCTTCGCTACCATTGGGACCGTTCTGTTCGTCCAAAATTGTGTCGACGTCGCTGATTACCTGAGCCCTGACCTTTGCCACCGTCCAATTTCCAGCCGTCACGCCGTGAACGTATGATGTATAGGGTAATATTTCTCCCTAAGGCTCTGTGTACCGTGCTAATGTGTTGGCTTGGCTTGTAAACTTGAGGCCAATGCACGTTTAAATATTTAGCATCGCCGGTTGGCGGAAACAATGGACCAGGTCGGCCATCAGTGCTCCGATCTTTGAACGTTTGCTTTTACTCCGACCGATTCGGCTTTGTTTACCTGCTCGCCTGTCTGGGGCCCTTCAATCTGTAGCACACTCGCACACACATACATGTACACATACTCGTGCGGGGTACTCTGGACTTTAGTGTTTTTTACACGCGGTCCCTAAGGCACGAGCAATCCGCCGCATCAGCCGGGATAATCAAATGAAAGCCCGCTGATTTGGAGGAGGCGGCTCCAGAACGGTGTGTCTTCCTGCCATGGGTTTGCTAATGTGTTCCCACCGAGAGTCGTGTGTGTGTGAGTCGGGGGACCCGTACGCCCTAGCTTTGGAGACATCGGGTCAGAGACCCCCGTACGATTCGATCAACTTGGCGCTAGCTAGCCGGATCACGACGTCGTCATTTTTAATTCCGTTCGGTGAATTGGAATTATGCCTCAGTTGTGTGCCGCGTGAGTTTGTAAAAGGGAAAGTCGGGTCGGAGCTTGTCTGTCCCAATCACGATATTTTGTTTGAAGTCACAGGGTGCACAATGTGGCCCTTTATGCTGAACTAAGTAAACACATCGACTTCGGAATCCCTCCCCGCTATTCTGTAGCCTTCTCTCGCCCCAATCCCTTTTCCAAGCGGGGTCTGTTTGGCGACTTATTCCTCGCGGATTTTCACCTTTTATCGTCCCAAAACCGCGTTAAATCTACCATATAACTAGTATTGTGTTAATTGCGGGAACTTTAGCCCATCTGACAGAGTCAAAACTGCCTACGCGCGTGATGTTTGCTCGCTAGGACTTGGCATGTCTGAAATGCGACAGCTCGTCCACCCCCCTCCCCTCCAACCCTCCAGTAGCAACTTTACAGACGCTCTTAGCTTAATCACCTCATCTGTATGCGTCGCAGAAGCTCTTTTTTCCTCAGACCCGAACCCATTTCCGTGTGGCACGCATCTTTTATCTCACTAAAGATCCTGGGAACGATACGTCGTTCCCAGTCACCGTCAATGTCGTTTGATTTTTGCCCCGTGGGATTTCCCGCCCCTTGATGAGGCAAAGGTCAGTTCCCCGTGCGCGAATTTAGATTTCTGAAGTACTTGAAACAAACACAAGCAAATTTTGTCAACATATAGTGAACTATGATATATTGTGCGCCATATGAAGTAGTTGTTTTGCTACATATGTCTATGTTTGTTCAAGACTCGTTTTAAGTGTAAGTGTAAGACTATGAGTACAACCAGTACGTTTCCGTATCATTTAATTTTGAGTTGCAAAAAAAGCATCACCGTGAACGAGTAAAGAAAAGATTGGGTAAATGCAGGAAAATTAGATCAAAGCTTTCCAAAATGTATCATCTCAGTCAGAAACAGACGACCCACAGCGTGACCCACTGCCCGAGGGTCCATCCTTCTTTCCTCTCTCAGACTGCTTTCCCGCCATTTTGTGCCAAACGACAAAGTTGGAAGGAATGACAGAAATTTCGCGTCCGTGTTCTTTGTCAGCCGAGCAAACAGACTGCACTTCAAACGGGGTCTGAAGATGGCGGGAATATGACACGAACACTTCAGTCCCCCACGTCCTTCTGAACTTACGCCTGGCAAAGACGCTGTTACAGGGAAGCCCAAGAATACTGTACAGATATAGTCTTGGCATGATATACCTCAAAGATAGATCATGGCTTATCCTTGAATATTGTGATGTCCTCTCTGAAAAAGGTGGTGATGCTCTACATAAAATCTTCATTACCTCATTGATGTCTTTTTCCAAACAGCTTAGCCCACCTACCTTTTTCAGAGAGGACATCGATCACAATATTCAGATTGTTGGTATATCTTCCCTTTTACATTGTGTTAGCTTCCTCCTCTAGCTGTACGACTACAGAGCAGTGTTAAAGTATAATAAGATTAGAGCAAAATTCGACCAAACCATTGAAGCAATGACGCATACTGAAGCAGGCAAAATTTATTATAAGACGAGAAATAACTCAGTTTTCGTCCAGTAGTCACAAAAACACTCAATTACCAAAGGTTTCCAAGTTCATCTGTTCCCTTTTCCCACAGATTGAACAGGTGAACTAAACATGTGTGATTTTCGGGCAATTAATTTAACTTGGCAATTTAGGAAGTCATAAACGTCGTGTTCGCAAACACACCTTCCGCTAACTTCCGTTTATTTGAAAAAGTTCGAATTCCGCTCAAACAAATCGTTCGGCAGCCTCTAGAACACTTTATGGACTTCAGAGAAGTTCAACAGAATAAGGAAGGAAACGTTTATCGCTTGTTTGGTAACCTGGAACGCGTTAATCTAATCATGGCTATAAAGAAGATAAGAGTAAACGGCAATTTTTGAAGTTTCTCGTGTATCAATATAGACCACTTTTGAAGAATGGTGCATCATTACCACTCTTTCAACTAATCCCAAAGCCCAAGTTTACGTGATCTTACTCATAACTAACTTGAACCTAAAAATGCAATGATAAAAAAATATTCATTAATCTTAACCTTAAGACCCTACAATATATAGATACTTTTGTAATGTACTTTAAGAGTTAGGTTGATGGTGAGTGTAGTATTCTTAAGAAAACATTTGGAATATACAAGTACATCCTGGTGTGTTCTTTAAAGTTAGGCCTTTCTAAGAACCTTGTCGGAGAGATGCCTCGCCAGTCTGGCGTTTTTCCTCGCAAGAACAACATCGTGTCTGTATTTACATTAACACCTTTATCCTAACAATTCGCGACAAAAGCCGGCATTTCTCACACACAAAGGCATCAAAAGAGAAAGTCCTTGATGTCAGTTGACTAAGTCATTTCCCCCCGCCCGAGCTGACGCGCTCTCGCTTCCGTGTCTCGCGAGGTTTCGGGCACGGACGAGGATGTGAAGAAACCACAGAAAGACGACATCCTCCCCACCCTGGGTACACAAGTTTACATTTGAGAAACATCCGACTAAACCGTCTGAATAATCGATGTGAAAATTCCACACGTATGTGTGCATGCAACCCCCTCATGGCCTTTGGATGGGAAAACCCGTCAGAATGAGGGATGAAGAACAAAATCTTAACTGACAGGTGATCATACCTTCACGAAATAAAAACGTCTCCCAACGAACTGTTTGATTTCCCAAGCCTGCCAAAATTCAATATCCAAACGCACTGTCAATGTATTTACAATGATCTCCAATCGCTCCAAGTCACATCACAAAGTCAAACATCTTTCACATTTACTAAAGATATTCGTATTCGTAATGATAGTAATATACAGCGATGTCATGGGCTCTACTCATGCTCTTATTTCTACTAGGGCATTTTGCAGCTCATCCAAACGTAACAAAATAATGTTAGAAAGAGTAAGAGGTAATTTCTGATGTATATAATCTTTTAATAGGTCCGACTATGACTACGTTGTTCAGATTAAATCAAAATGGAATGATGTCCCTATCTTCCTCAGCTGGAAAGTAGAAGATTTCTCCCCATTCCTTATGTTTACAACTCTTACTGCGTAGTTCTTGAGTTGTCCCACTCTCCTTCATACCCCTTTGGTTCTGTGGTGCTGGCTGTGTGACAGCGGAACAGGTGTGTATTTACCCTGGTGTGGACAGAAACACCTTACAGGTACGGCCTACCGTGAACTCTTAGTCCCCCCGGAGTTGTAACAAACACACCTGCAAGGAAAACAACTGGGGACTGGAACAAACACAGGGCCTGGGATGAGAACAGAACGGGGGAAAGGTTTTAGAGAGACTTTATCCCCTGACCTCACGGAGCGAGTGTAACTGTTTGTAACCTTTGTTTAATCTGTAGGTTTGTACAGACCCAGTTATTACAGTGCGACAATCGGGACATGGGGATTCCTTTATAGAGTTGTTTGCAGATTGGAGCTAAGTTGCTAAGGTTGGCAGACAGTAAATGGCAACATCTTTGTGGAGTTCTTTAGTCATTTGTCGTT